GACCAGCCGCTCCACGGCATGTGGGATCTTCCCGGACCGGGGCACGAACCCGTGTCCCCTGCATCGGCAGGCGGACTCTCAACCACTGCGCCACCAGGGAAGCCCCAGCATAAAACCTTTTAGATTGACTTCTATCATCTAGTGATATGCATTTAATCTTCTTCCATCTCTTTCCATAGCTTGATAGCTCATTTTTTTTTAAGCTGTGAATGATATTGCACTGTCTGGATGTGCCACAGTTTATTTATCCATTCTCCTACTAAAAAACGTCTTGGTCGAAAGTCAGCCCTCGACACAAGGGTTTGTAAAAAGAAAAGAAAAAAGAGAAAAGAAACAACAAAAACAAAAACATCTTGCTTGCTTCCAAATTCAGGCAATTATGAATAAAGCTACTATAAACATCATGTGCAGGTTTTTGTATGCACCTAAGTTTTTAGCTGAATTGAGTAAATGACTGCTGAGCATGACTGCTGGATTGTATGGTAAGAAGATGTTTAGTTTTGGAAGAAACTGCTGAACTGTCGTCCAAAGTGCCTGTATCATTTTGTATCCCCACCAACAATAAATGAGAGTTCCTGTGGCTCTGCCTCCTTGATAACATTTGGTGTTTGGGGTTTGGGCCATTCTAATAGTGTAATGGTATCTCATTACGGTTTTAATTTACAATTACCTAATGGCATGGAATGTTGAGCATCTTTTCATATGCTTACTTGCCATCTTCTTTGATGAAGTGTTCATTCAGGTCATTTGCTCATTTTAAAAATCATTTTTTAAATGTTTGTTTTCTTATTGTTTAGTTTAAGGATGCTTTGTTTATATTGGATAGCAGTCCCTCATCTGATATGTCTTTTTCAAATATTTTTTCTCAGCCTGTGGTTTGCTCTCATTCTCCTGACAGTGTCTTTCGCAAAGCAGAATTTTTAAATTTAATGAAGTCCAGCTTATTAATTATTTCATAGATCATGTCTTTGGCGTTGTATCTAAAAAGTCATTGCCATATCCACGGTCATTTAGATTTTCTCCTGTTATTTTCTAGGAGTTTTATAGTTTTGCCTTTTACATTTAAGTTTGTGATCCATTTTGAGCTAATTTTTGTGAAGGGTGTAAGATCAGTGTCTATATTTTTTGCATGTGGATGTCCAGTTTTTCCAGCACCATTTGTTGAAAAGACTACCGTTCCTCCATTGTATTATCTTTGCTCCTTTGTCAAAGATCACTTGACTATATTTACGGGGGTCTATTTCTGGGCTGTTTATTATTATTTTTTTTTTATAAATTTATTTATTTATGGCTGCATTGGGTCTTCGTTGCTGTGCGAGGGCTTTCTCTAGTTGCGGTGAGCGGGGGCCGCTCTTCATCGCGGTGCGCGGGCCTCTCACTATCGCGGCCTCTCTTGTTGCGGAGCACAGGCTCCAGACGCGCAAGCTCAGTAGCTGTGGCTCACGGGCCTAGTTGCTCCGCGGCATGTGGGATCCTCCCAGACCAGGGCTCGAACCCGTGTCCCCTGCATTGGCAGGCGGATTCTTAACCACTGCGCCACTAGGGAAGGGAAGCCCCCTGGGCTCTTTATTCTGTTCTATTGATCTATTCGTCTATTCTTTTGCCAATACTACACAATCTTGATTACCGTGCCTTTACAGTAAGGCTTAGAGTCAGTCCTCTGATTTGTTGTTCTTCAGGATTGTGTTGGCTATTGTGGACTTTTGCTCCTCCATATAAACTTTAAAATTATAGTTTGTTGACATCCACAAAATAACTTGCTGAAATTTTGATTGGGATTGCTGTGAATCTATAGATCAAGTTGAGAAAAACTGAGGTCTTGGCCATATTGAGTCTACCTATCCACAGATATGTAATATCTCTCCATTTGTTTAGTTCTTTGATTTCTTTCATCAGTTTTGTAGTTTTCCTCGTATAGAGATCTTGTATATATTTTTAAGTTTATATCTGAATACAGTTGACCCTTGAATAACACGGTATGAACTGCACGGATCCACTTGTATGCAGGTTGTTTTCAATAGATAAGTACTACAGTACCACACAAGTCCATAGTTGTTTTTTTCTGTGGATACAGAACTGTGGATTTTTAAAAAAATAACAGCTTTAACTATTTACAATAGCCAAGACATGGAAGCAACATGGATGGACCTAGAGATTATCATACTAAGTGAAGTAAGTCAGACAGAGAAAGACTAATATCCTACGACATCACTCATATGAATCATATGTGGAATCTAATTTTAAAAAATTATACAAATGAACCGATTTACAAAACAGAAACAGAATTACAGATATCGAAAACAAACTTATGGCTGCCAAAGGGGAAATGTGATGGGGGGGACAAATCAGGAGCTTGGGACGAACATAACTACTATATATAAGACAGACAACCAACAAGGACCTACTGAAGAGCTCAGGGAACTCTACTCAATATTCTGTGATAACATATATGAAAAAAGAATATGATAAAGAATGAACATATGTGTATGTATAACTGAATCACTTTGCTGCACACCTGAAACTAACAACATTGTAAATCAACCATACTCCAATAAAATTAAAAAAACAGAATTACAAAAAAATAAAAAGAACAGCTTTATTGATACATAATTCACATGCCATAGAATTCACCCTTGAAAAGTGTACAATTCAGTGTTTTTTCCTATATTCATAGAGATGTGTAACCCTCACCACTATCTAATGTAAGAACATTTTTATCAACCCCCAAAGAAACTCCATACCCATTAGCAGTCACTTGCTATTCCCCCTCCACCTTAGCCCCTGGAAACCACTAATCAACTTTCTGTCTTTATTACTTTCTGTCTGGATTTGCCTATTCTGAGCATTTCATATAAATGGAATCTTATAGTGTGTGGTCTTTTGTGTCTGGTTTCTTTCACTTTACATGTTTTCAAGGTTTACCTATGTTGTAGCATGTATTAGTACTTCATTTCTTTTTATGTCTTAATATTCCATTGTATGGTAGACCATATATTTTTTAATTTATTAATTTTATTTATTTTTGGCTGCATTGGGTCTTCATTGCTGCACGCGAGCTTTCTCTAGCTGCGGTGAGTGGGGGCTTCTCTTGTTGCGGAGCATGGGCTCTAGGCGCGTGGGCTTCAGTAGTTGCAGCACATGGGCTCAGTAGTTGTGGCTCGCGGGCTCTAGAGCGCAGGCTCAGTAGAGCCTGGCTTAGTTGCTCCGCAGCATGTGAGATCTTCCCGGACAAGGGATTGAACCTGTGTCCACTGCATTGGCAGGCGGATTCTTAACCACTGAGCCACCAGGGAAGTCCCAACCATATTTTATTTATACATTTATTAGTTGATGGACATTTGAATGATTTCCACTGTTTAGCCATTATGAATAGTACCGCCATGAACATTCACATACAAGTTTTTGTGTAGATGTACATTTTCAATTTTCTGAGCTATATACCTAGGGTGGAATACCTTGTAAGTCATAAGGTTTTTTGGTTTTGTTTTTTTTTGCAGTATGCGGGCCCCTCACTGTCGTGGCGTCTCCCGTTGCGGAGCACAGGCTCCGGACGCACAGGCTCAGCGGCCATGGCTCACGGGTCCAGCCGCTCCGCGGCATGCGGGATCTTCCCGGACCAGGGCACGAACCCGTGTCCCCTTGCACCGTCAGGCGGACTCTCAACCACTGCGCCACCAGGGAAGCCCCAGTCATAAGGTTTTAATGTTTGACATTTGAAATGCCAAATTATTTTCTAAAGTGACTATCATCTTGTAATTCTTTATTGAAATAAGTATGTAAGGTCTATTTAGGCGAGTAATTGGTTTCACTGCTCTCTAAATATTTGCTAGCCTTGGCAAGGTGACTGAAATTCCCCTGATTCTTGGAGCTAAGACATTGAAAGCCCTGTGTTAAAAATATATTCATCTAAGAGAAATAAAATATGGGGCAATACCCAGTTAGAATGCGTTTACCAATTTGCCATAGGTAAATGGAACACTGGTCAGGCAAGTTTTGATAGGGGAACCAGGGGGAAAGGGGTGGGAGAGGGATAAACTGGGAGACGGGGACTGACATATATACACTACTATATATAAAATAGATAACTAATAAGGAGGACCTACTGTATAGCACAGGGAACTCTACTCAGTACTCTGTAATGACCTATATGGGAAAAGAATCTAAAAAAGAGTAGATGTATATGTATAACTGAATCACTTTGCTGTACACCTGAAACTAACACAACATTGTAAATCAACTATACTCCAATAAAAATTTTTTTTTAAAGTTTTGACAGGGGAGAATGGTCATGAAAGCTCCGGGTGCTCCAGCCTTGCTGAGGCTGGCTTGCAGGTAGATCAGAGTCGTGAAGGAGGAGAGGGGGACCCATTTGGAGAAGGCTGTTCTGAAGAAAACTGTGCAGTGGTACATAGGGTATGTATAACCACTTTGCCCAGGATTGATACTCTTTTTTGTCATTCTAGGGCTGAGGATAGAGCTAAACATTTGTCAAAATAAAATCGGTCCTTATTTGATTTAACTTTTGAAAAGGAGTAAATTCAGTTGGATGGTAGTAAATGTTTAACAACTGGCTCTCTGGAGGGGGGAGAAGCCCTATCTGTAGGATTTGCTGATTTCTGTGATGTAATTACCCTCACCATGCCCGATTGCAAGCCACCAATGTCATATTTTTGAACATGACATTGGGAAGAACAATGCACCATCGCTTTCTTGAGCCAGTAGGAGCCGACTTCTACCAGCACCACTGGTTGAAGTGGGGGATGAAAACATCAGATAGAATCAGGGTGTGGCAGCTCATGGAACAGGCTAGACTAAGGAGTATGGGAGAAGAAGGCAGAATGAAAGTAAGTAGGCCAGTCGCAGATGAGAAGAGTAACTTGGCATAGAAAAGTGGGTGTACGCAGGGCTGGTCACCCGCACGTTTTGCACGTTTTGCAGGTTGAATCTTGGTGCAGCTCTGAGTTTCTCTTTTGCGATGCGGTCTTCAGAAACACAGCACCCTGCTTAAAAGGCTACTGCCAAGGTTCTGTTGCACTGTGATAATCATGCAGTCAGCCCGCCCAAACTCTTTTCTGTGTCGCGAAGCCCCGGATGAGGCTTGCCTGGGCTGACTACACCTTCAGGAAGCAGAAATGAAATCAAAGCGACAGGATAAATGGAAGTTCTCCCTTGTCTTTGGTGTGAGTCTAAGTGGTGTAAGCATATTTTCCATCAGGAATTAGTTGCTTAGAGAAGAAAGAGCCAAGCAAATCTGGACCAGGTGTTCACTCCATTTAGTCCCAGAGCCAAGAAAAACCATCTTCTGGGCACTGGGAAGAAGAAAATGGAAAATGCCAATTAATGATCAGCTTTCAAATTGTTTCTACTCGTCCAAGGGACTGGGTTTCATCTGACCCTCCAAGCTCCACTGGGCAACTGAACTTCATTTCTGCAGAGAATTTTCTAACAATCATAAGCAAAATCCTAGTGACTTTTAAAAACAAGGATTTTAAAGATAGGGACTTACCTGGTGGCGCAGTGGTTAAGACTCCGCACTCCCAATGCAGGGGGCCTAGGTTTGACCCCTGGTCAGGGAACTATATCCCACATGCATGCTGCAACTAAGAGTTCACATGCCACAGTGAAGAGCCCGTGTGCCACAACTAAGATCTGGTGCAGCCAAATAAATAAATAAATTTTTTTTTTTTTAAAAGAGTTTTAAAGATAGATGACTTCCTCTAAGAAATCAAAGCTCTACCTGCAGCAGTGTCTTTAGGAAGCAATACAGGCAGTAGAAAATGAGAAAGTGAGTTACTCAAGCCAGGAAGGGCAAAAGAAGGCTGTGAGATGCCTCACAACCAGGCTGATGGACTTTTCACAGAATCGACGGGTGTTTTGGCAGAATTGTCCTGAGTAACTGGTTGCTTAGGTGACGTGCAGACACAACTTTCTTCTAACTCAGTGGGATGCCAATTATCTTTTTCTTTACCTGCTAGGTGCTAGGGGAAATAAATCTGTATATTTTAAGAAGGGGCATATATTTCCTTTGTGAATGAAATGAAACCAAGGGGATAAGTATAATAAATTATGAGTGCTCACTTATCCTGATGGGGAGAAAAGAAAGGTTGATTTTCCTTCCAGAGCAGCCCCTTGATCTAGCCAATCTATTAAAGAATAATTGAACCAGCAACAATCACTTCCATGCAGTATCTACTAATTACGCTACGCTATAAACAGTCTCTGCATTCAGACATGCTAACTGCTAAAACGGGAACATTACATCTCCAAGGGTGTCGTTAGAGTTTTAGCTACTCCCTGATTCAGAAGATCTAACCCTGAAATATGAAGGCTGTGTTTTTTTTCCCCCTTTTTGGACTGTGCTCTGACTTTCATCTCTTACTCTGAAACCTTTGCTTCCTCCAAATTCAAGTCTTTTGTCTTCTTTTGTGTTATCAACCTCATAAGCTATCCCAAAATATACCATTTCTCTTAAATGATTCACACATTTAAAAAATCTCATTTAGTAAACTCCCAGACAGCTGAAAGAAAAGGCACCATGAACTGAGCCTGATATAATCCATTCAGGCCTCCATTTGTATCTTTCAAGTGAGAGACTTGGATTATGTGTCATTTAGGATTAGGTTCAACTGTAACAGAGACCAAGACAACAGTGGCTTAAATCAAACATGAGGTTATTCTCTTCCAGTAGTGAAGCCTGGTGCTAAGAGCACGGGGCTACAACATTAACTCTGTATTCATCAAGGACCCAGGCTCCTTCTGTATCATTGCTCTGCCATCCTCTGAACTTGACTTCCACCTCTGGTCCAGGACAGCTGCTCTAGATCAAGCTAGCATGTCTACATTTCTGCCGTCAGTGAAAAAGGGCATGCTGCCTTTCTAAATGATACCACCCAAAGTCACATTCAACATTTCTACTTTTAAGCCATTGAGTAGCTGCAAGAGAGTCTGAGAAATGAGGTGTCTATTCTGAAAAGCCATTGACCAACTGAAAGTTGGGGATTCTATTAGCAATGGAAGAAAGGGAGAACAGATATTGGGAAGAGCTAGCTGGCTCTACCACACACTAGACTGATGATTTTGAAATTGTATCCTCAAAGTCCTAGGGTTTTGGCATATTACACAGAGGCTACTGTGGGTCTTGAATGGGGCGATGTGTGGGTAAATTTGCATAGGATCCCAGAATACTTACCAAAATCAGAGTATATATCCCCCCTTTTGAAGTTTAATTGTACTAGAACATTTCTGATGGGTGGCAGTGGTCTAGACTGAACCACTGGCAGGTAACTGGTAAGAATTCTCAGGGCCCCAGGGGAAGGGGTGCTTTGAGTGGTGCCCTGAGTTGGTCAAGGGGAAATCTGATTCTGGAGCAGGCTGCCAGTCCTGGACAAGGACACGGTGAACTAGCGTTAGACCAGTTTTCAACGTTGACATCATATGGCACTAAGAGAAGCAACAGCAGCTGACAACTGGGCCCTGAAACTGGACTGATACGATTCTGTATTTTTCTCTCTGAAAGGGTTGTGATCCAAGTGATGGCTACAGTAGAGTTTCTCCACCTCGGCACCCTGGACATTGTGGGCTAGATAATTCTTCATTGCACATGACTGTAATGGGTATTGTAGTATGCTTAGCAGCAGCCCTGGCCTCTATTGGTTTCCCATTGTGAAAACCAAACATGCCTCCAGACGTTGACAAATGTCCCCTGGGTGCCAAATTACTTACAGCTGTGAACCAATGGGTCAGAATCTAAGTAATGATGCACACTTTTGTACTTTGCTAATGGTTGTGCAATTTGGTACCAATCCTTTCATAAATGAGATACATAGCAAAGGCCTTAAATATGTCCATGACTTTAACTTAATCCCATTTCTTGGACTCTGGCCCAAGGAAACAATTTGCAAGAGACTTTCTGTCTAAAGGTACTTGTTGTAGTACTATTTTCAATAGGTGAAAAAATTAGAGGGCTTCCCTGGTGGCGCAGTGGTTGAGAATCCGCCTGCTAATGCAGGGGACAAGGGTTCGAGCCCTGGTCTGAGAAGATTCCACATGCCACGGAGCAACTGGGCCCGTGAGCCACAACTACTGAGCCTCTGCGTCTGGAGCCTGTGCTCCACAACGAGAGGTCGCGACAGTGAGAGGCCCGCGCACTGCGATGAAGAGTGGCCCACGCACCGCAAGGAAGAGTGGCCCCCGATCGCCGCAACTAGAGAAAGCCCTCGCACAGAAACGAAGACCCAACACAGCCAAAAATAAATTAATTAATTAATTTTTAAAAATTAGAAACAACAAAAAATATTAAACAGTAAGAAAAGAATTAAATAAACCATGGTAGATCCACGTACCCACTAAAATGTGTTTTTGAGTTTATAATAACATGGGGAAATACTTAGAATGATAAGTAAGCAAATAAAAAAACTATGCAAAAAAAATGACAAGGAGAAAACTCACTAAAAATGGTAGACTCTGGGGGGGGATCGGGAGTGATTTTTTTTTCCTCCTTCCTTCTATCTTCCTGTAGTTTCTAAACTTTCTAAGCTCCCTGTGAATGAGTTTATTCCAAACTACAAAACAAAACTACAAAGAAAATCCTAATTAAAAAAAAATTCTGGTGCCTGTCCTGGAGGATCCACAGACCCTTGTGAGCATTCCTGTAAGTGCACGCTGTTGGGAGAGAGGCCAAACAGATATTCCCTCCTGCGCCGAGGTGCCAGGCTTTGTGCCAAGGGACCCCGCCACCCTGGCCACAACCCACTGAACCAGGAATCCCTACTGAAGGCTCCAGGAGACTGGGCAGAAGGAAGCCCAACCACCTATGAGGAGGCTTGACTCCAGGCACTGGAGGTACGGTCAAAGAGGAGCCTTTGACACTGGATAGCGAAAAATAGGGCCAATCAGACCCTGTCTCTGGAAATGTGCATGGAAAAACTCTCAAGGAGGCTCCTCTGCCCCTCCTGAGAGATGAACAAGGACAACCAGACCCTCAAGCAGCTGGGGATCCTGAGCAATGAGGGCTGTTCTTCTGGTTCCTCGGGAGGCTGCAGAGATGGCTTTCCTTACTCCCTACTTTCGTACAAGAAGCACCTACCATACAGAGAGATGTAGGCAGAGTGGGCCCCGGTGTCTGACAAAGCTCAGCTCCCTTTGGGTGTGTGTAGTGGACGTTACATGGGCAGCTGGAACCCTCCTCCCAACTCTGCTGGTCCCAAAGGCCACTCCACAGATGAGTGGCACAGGCAACTTGTTAAATTCCAGAGTCCAGGCTCCCCCCCTAGATAATTTCACTTAATGGTCTTGGAGAGTGGGGAACTCAAGAATTTGTATTTAAGAGTTCCCAGGTAATTCTGATGCATAGACCAGTTTCGGAACCAGTGTTTTGCCCACTACTAAAAAAACTACACCATCCTGCTCTAACTCTGAAGTAAGCCCTAACAGTAGGATGGCTCCTCAAAAAAATTAAACATAGAACTACTACCATAAGATCCAGCCAATCTCACTCCTGGGTATATAGCCAAAAGAACTGAAAACACGGTCTCAAACAGATATCTGTACACCCATGTCCATAGCAGCATTACTCACAATAGCCGAAAAGGTGGAAGCAACCCAAGTGGTCATCACAGATGAATGGATAAAAGAAATGTGGTACATACATAAAATAAGTCTTATTCAACGTGATATATACATAAAATAAGTCTTATTCAACCTTAAAAAGGAAGGAGATTCTGACACATGCTACACTGTGGATGAACCTTGAAGACACACTGCTAAGTGAAATGGCAGACGCAAAAGGACAAATACTGTACGATTCCACTTCACTGAGGTTCCCGTAGTAGGCAAATCCACAGAGACAGAAAGTAGAACAGGGGTTGCCAGCAGCTGTGGGAAGCTATTATTTCACAGAGAGTGTTTCAGTTTCGGAAAATGAAAAAATTCTGAAGATGGATGGCGGTAATGGTTGTACAACAACGTGAATACACTTAATGCCAGTGAGCTGTACACTTAAAGATGGTTAAAATGGTAAATCTTATGGACATCTTACCACACACACACATACACAAACCCAACAAACCAGCAATGACTAAACGAAACAAAAAAACCTATACAGTTCTTTCTAGCAGGGAAATAAGCCACCTCAAAGAAATCATAGCCAAGAAAATAACTTTTTTTTTGCTTTTTACAAAACACTGTCAGAGATAAAAAATCTTTAGAAAAGAAAATTAGTTCAGAACAAGCTTCTTTCAACGTATCAGCGTCCCTTATCGTAAAATAAACAGAGAGAAACAGGAAATGGGAGACTAAAATAAATCTTCTG